TTCCGCGCGCCGCCGCCAGGAAAGCCCCGGCAGGTCTAGAGTTTGCAGGAAATTGGGTGAGGCGGGCGAGAAGGGCCTTGTCACTCTGCAATTGCGAAAGTTTTATATCCTCTCACCCCGGACGCCGAAGCTCCCGTTAAGGTCTCGAATGTGTGACGAAAAAAAGAAATCTTCCACATTCTCCTCCGGTTCCTTCTACATCATCGTCATCTGATGCTAACAATAATAATAATTTGCCTCCTAAATGTTTTTCACATCTGCCTTCTCCTTTCCTCCCCACTTCAAATGCCTTAGTCCCAGAAAGTGAAGACAGCTCTCTAGTCAGACAGATCTGGGTACTGGGCGATATTGGGCAAATTATCCTCTCAGCTTTGCTTACCTTACCTGTAAAATGGAGCTGTTAAAACTAGAGCCAACTAGGTTGGGTTGCTGTCGGGTAAACAAGAATAAGTATGTAATGAGGTTAGTAAGTGCCTGTCTTAATTCCTCTCTGATATGATTACAATTATTATTCTTCATATTTTCATCATCTTTCTTCAATAGACTATTACGGATTTCTAACTAGTCTTAGTTGCAGTGTTGTTCCCTCCACTACACAGGAATACGGGAGATCTCTCTAAGTACAAATCATATCCAGAGACTGGTGTCACTCCTCTGCTTAGAATCTTTAGTGGCTCCCATGTGCCCTCCTGATAAAGACCAAGCTTTTTGATATGGCCTAAGAGCCCAGCCCAAATCCAGTCCCTTCCTATTTCTCTCTCTGACTGTTTGAGCATTTATAAATCTCTCTCAGTTTATGCTTCACCAACACCTAATTGCTTATAATTTATACCCCCAATACACACTTCCAGATCCCCAACGTACCATTTATTGCCTCCAAGATTTTCAAATAAAAACTGGAGATATAATTACCAGCCTGGCTCATTTAAAATTTTACTAGTTTTTGTTAAAATTAGCCTCTACCCTTTTTCTTGAATTACCTCTAAGCCCCAGGATTTGTGGGGGTCCAAGTGAAATGAGGGGGTTCTGCCCAAGTTCTACACACCAGCAGAAAGAGAAGTCAGCCTGAGGAGTTGCCTGCCCCATGGTGTCTCAGTGACCCGAGAATTGCAGTAAAAACACAGGTCCTCCACAGAGCCTCAGTCTGACAGGTGAAGAGACTCAGTGTTGAGTTAATCCAGGTACTCCCACTTTCTCTTTCAGCCATTGCTCACTTGAGGACAAGCTCTGCGGTGGGGAAGGTTGGGCCTGGAGGATTTTCTGCATCATCCACTTGCAGCAGCAACTAGCCCTCTCTGCAAGGCAATTTTGTTTAGGAACCATGTTGACTTTTCTTGAAATGTTTGTTGTTGTTTTTGGTCAAGGCCAGCTAGTTTACCTTTGATATATCTTCATAATTTTAAATCTTGCAGAGAAAAGTTTGGGGTGCCAATCATTCATCCAACAATATTTATTTAGTGCCTCCTAATTACCAGGCACTGTCAAGTGCCAGGAATATAGCAACTAACAAGGTCCTTGCCTTTATGAAGCTTACATTCTTGTCCTTTCTGGGGAGAAAGCACAAAAATACAAGTAAATAATATAATTTCATAAAGTATTAAGTTTTATAGGGAGTGATAATGGAGACTGACAGGGAAAGTGAAATCAAGATAGGGTTACATTTGAGCTGAGAGCTAAATGCTATGGAACCAGCTGTGTGAAGATCTGGAATAAGAATGTTCCAGACAAGGGGAAAGAAAGAATAAAGGCTCTGAGACTGGAAATGAATTTAGTATTTTTTGAGGGACAGAAACCTGTGTGGCTGGAGCACGGTGAACGAGGGGGAGAATGGCAAGAGATGGATTTGGAGGAAAGGTGGCCAGATTTTGCAAATGAAAACACAGGACAGCCGGTAAAATTTGAATTTCAGATATACAATGAATAATATATCACGGGACATTCTTATATTTTAAAAAATTGATGTGATTATCTGAAATTTAAATTCAACTGAGCATCTTGTGTTTTATCTGACAACTCTCATTGGAAAGGATGCCTGATTCTGACAACATGGGAAGTTAGAAATATGAAAAAACTTTTCACTGCAAGATAGAAATGATAACAGAAAATGCATACCTGAATTTACAGGAAATTAAAGGAAATCCAAGATGCCAAAAAAAAAAAAAAAAAAGAATTAAACTCACACTAGTAAGCTAATCTTTGAGCCATGGAATCCTAGGGGCATTCTATGAAACCGAGACCTCAAGGCTTAAGTTTTAATGGGTAAACTGGGATCAGTAGACAAAGCCTTTGGTGTGTGCGAAGCAGGGAGTGGAAATACAGATCCTCCCACAGAAGTCAAGTTCCTTGGAAGGGCTACAATCTCCATGAAATGGTAGTTTAGGGGAAAAAAAAATCTGCCTGCTGTCAAAGGGAGATAACGAGAAACTGTATCTTTCTCGGCCTCGGCTCCACGTGAGAGGTAAAAGTCTCCCCTGAAAATTTGTGACGCATCAGAATTTTAAAAAGAACCGTTCCCCACAAAATCCTTCTGGAAATTAAAATGTAATCAGTGAAATTTAAAAATCAGTGGATAACATTGTAGTAAATTTTATACATAACCATATACAAAAACTCCACAGATAGGTTAAATAGTTGAAGAGAGAATTTATGATTTAAAAGATAAATCTGAAGAAATTGCCCAGAAAGCTAGTCTGAAATAAAGAGATGGAAAGCGTGGAAGGAATGTTGAGAGATAGGAAAAATGGAATGAAAATGATTTATCATATAACGTAATTAAAATTTCAGATGCAAAGACTAGTAAGAATGAGACAGAAAAAAATATTTAAAGGTAATGATGAGAATTTTCCAGAATTGGTACAAAACAAAAATCTACAGATTTGGGAAGCATAACAAATTCCAAGAAGGATAAACAAAAGAAATCCATAGCTGGATATATTGTAGTCAAACTGCAGAACATTAAAGATAAAGAGATCTTAAAAGAATGTAGAAAGAAAATATTAATTACCTCTAAAAGAAAGCCAGTTACATTTATGGCTGACTTCTCAATAGCAACTGGGAAGCCAGAGTCTTCAGTGGAGTATTTTCAAAACTTACCTATTTTTCCACTTAAAATATTACATTTACAGCAAAATTAAGCAGAAGTACGGAGAGTTCCCACATACCTCTTGCCCCACGCATGCACAGCCTCCCCCACTGCCAACTTTCAGCATCAGAGAGATACATTTATTTCAATTGATGAACCTACACTGACACATCATTATCGCCCAAAATCCATAGTTTACATTAGGTCTTGGTGTCATATATGCTATGGATTCGGACAAATGTGTAATGATGTAGCCACCATTATAGTATCATACAGAATACTTTCATTGCCCTAAAAATTCTCTGTGCTCTACCTATTTATCCTTCTCTTCCTTAAATTCTTAGCATCTACTGATCTTTTACTGTCACCATAGTTTTTTCTTTTTCAGAATGTAATATGGTTGGAATCATACAATCTGTAGCCTTTTCACATTGGCTTATTTAATTTAGTAATATGCATTTAAAGTTCCTCCATGTCTTTTCATGGTTTGATAGTTCACTTTCTTTGTAGTGATGTATAATACTTTATTGTCTGGATGTACCATAGTTTAATTATCCATTCACCTAATGAAAGACATCTTGGTTGCTTCTAAGTTTTGGCAATTATGAGTAGAGCTGCTATAAGTATCTTTGTGCAGGTTTTTGTGTGGACATACGTTTTCAACTCATTTGGGTAATTACCAAGGAGTATTATTGATGGATCATCTGGTAAGAAGATGTTTACTTTATAAGAAACTGTCAAAGTATCTTTCAAAGCAACTGTACTATTTTGCATTCCAACCAGCAACGAATCAGAGTTCCAGTTTTTCCACATCCTTACCAGCATTTGGTGATTCTGGTGTTTTGGATTTTGGCCATTCTAATAGGTATGAGGTGGTATCTCGTTGTTGTTTTAATTTGCATTTCGCTAAGGATATATTATGTGGAGTATTTTTTCATATGTTTACTTTCCATCTGCCTATCTTCTTTAGTGAAGTGTCTCTGTTCAGGTGTTTTGCCTATTTTTGAGTGGGTTATTTGAATTTTAAGAATTCTTTGTATATTTTGAATAATAGTCCTTTATCAGATATGTCTTTTGCAAGTATTTTCTCCCAGTCTGTGGTTTATTTTCTCTTTATCTTGACTGTGTCTTTTGTAGAGCAGAAGTTTTTCATTTTAACAAAGTCCAGCATATCAATTATTTATTTCATGGATCATGTCTTTGGTGTGGTATCTAAAAAGTCATTGCCATATTGAAAGTCATCTAGGTTTTCTCCTATGTTATCTTCCAGGAGTTTTATGATGTTGCACTTTACATTTTGATCTTTGATCCATTTCGAGTTAACTTTTGTGAAGGGTATAAGGTCTGTGTCTAGATTCATCATTTTGCATGTGGATGTCCAGTTGTTCCAGCGTCATTTGGTGAAAAGATTTGCTCCATTGTATTACATTTGCCCCTTTGTTAAAGATCATTTGACTATATTTATGTGAGTATATTTCTGGGGTCTCTTCTTTTACCAATTCAATACAGTAGGTTTATAGTAGGTCTTGAAATCAAGTAGTGTCCATTTTCTGACTTTGTCCTTTTCCTTCAATATTGTGTTGGCTATTCTGGGTCTTTTGCCTCTCTGAATAAACTTTAGAATCAGTTTGTGTATATCTACAAAATAGCTTATGGGATTTTGATTGAGATTGCATTGAATATATAGATCAAGTTGGGAAGAACTGACAATATTGAATCTTCCTATCCATGAACGTAGAATATCTTTCCATTTATTTAGTTCTTCAATTTCATTCATTCGTTTTGTATTTTTCCTCACATAGATATTGGACATATTCTATTAAGATTTATCTCTAAGTATTTATTTTATTTGTGTGCTAACATAGCTGGTATTGTTCTTTTAATTTCAAATTCTACTTGTTCATTGTTGGCATGTATGAAAGCAATTGACTTTTGTATATTAACTTTGTATCCTGCAATTGTGCTATAATCAATTATTAATTCCAGGAGAGTTTTTGTTGATTTTTTTTTGGATTTTCTACAATAGACAGTCATGTCATCTGCAAACAAAGACAGTTTGAGTCTTTCCCAATCAGTATACTACACTTTTATTTCCCTTTATTGTCTTATTGCATTAGCTAAGGCTTCCAGTATCATGTTAAAAGACAGCAGTGAGAGGGAACATCCTTGTTTTATTATCTGATCTTAGTGGAATATTTCTAGTTTCTCACCATTAGATATGATATAAGCTGTAAGTTTTTATAAATGTTCTTTATCAAGCTGAAGAAATTATCCTTTTTCCTAGTTCACTGAGCGTTTTTAACATAAATAGGTGTTGGATTTTGTCAGATGCTTTTTCTACATCTATTGATATGACTGTGATTTTTCTTCTTTAACCTGTTTATGTGATGGATTACATTAATTGATTTTTGAATGTTGAACAAGACTTTTATACCTTGGATAAATCCCACTTGGTTTGGTGTATAATTCTTTTAATACTTGTGGGATTCAACTTGCTAATATTTTTGTTGAAGATTTTTGCATCTGTGTTCATGAGAAATAAATATTGGTCTGTAGTTTTTTTGTAATATCTTTTTGAAATATTAGGATAATGCTGGCCTCATAGAATGAATTAAGAAGTGTTCTCTTTGCATCTATCTTCTGAAAGAGACTGTAGAGAACCGATATAATTTCTTCCCATCTGGACCCAATGCTTCCTATTTTGGAAAGTTACTATTTATTGATTCAATTTCTTCATAGAACTAGGCCTATTCAGATTGTCTATTTTTTTTTTTTATCATCCTATGAATGACCTTCTTCTCCTCTGAAGCCCCTCATTCTTAGCTCAAAATGCCATATATACCTCATTTTAACTCTCTATCTCTAAACCTCTCATGTATGTGGGGTCTCTGACTCTCTTATGTATGTGGGGTTCCCATACACAGATATGTAATTAAATTTGGCTATTTTCTCTTGTTAATCCATCTCATGTAGATTCATTAAACCAGTCAAAAGAACCTTGAAGGTAAAGTTTCTTCCTTCCCAACAACTTGCATGTGGAATCAAAAATAATAATAAGGTCAAGTAGAATAGAGTAGAATGCAGAGAGTAGAATGGTGGTTGCTAGGGGCTGGGGGTGTGTGTGTGTGAAAAAATGGGGAGATATTCATCAAATGGTACAAACTTTCAGTTATAAGGTGAATAAATTCTGAGGATCTAATGTACAGCATGGTGATTATAGTTAATAATATTGTACTATATACTTGAAATTTCCTAACATAGTGGTTCTGAAGCATTCTCACTACACACCACACACACACACACACACACACACACACACATATGCACAGACCTATACACACAAGGTAACTATGTGAGGTGATGGATGTGTTAACTTAATTGTGGTAAATATCTCACAATGTATACCTAAATCAAAATCATCATGTTATCTACTTTAAGTACATATAATTTTATTTCTCTATTATACCTTAATAAAGCTGGAAAAAAGAGCTAAATCACTCCTTTTAGAGATTAAGACACAAAGGCTCAGAGAAATTTATATTTATCTAAGGTTACATGGGTTGTATATTTTATTTTTTAAAGAGTCAATCTTGCTACTTCACATTCTAGATTTCTTATACTGCTGCTGCTGCTGCTGCTGAAAAATTGATAATCTTATTTTAAAAATCTCACTCAAACTCAATTTAGTAACTTTTCTTCTAGCATATACATCTTGAAAAAGTCATATAAGACTCCAGATTTCATTTTTCTCAAAGCTCCAGGTGATTTCTAATTATAAAATAATATGTAAAACACATTTCCTTGATTACTGAAGGAAAAGAAAAGAGGCTACAATTTAGTTATCTCAAAATCCATTTATTTTGTTGGGAAAATGATAAAGCGACTTATGTTCATGAAGTTTATAAACAATTCCTTATTTTGAAAGTGTAACTGATATTTCTATTTTATTTATATCAATGTTAATTTTGCTTCTTGAAGCTTTCTAACATTTACTGAGTAATTTTCTTTACTAGAGACTGACTTTTCTACTAAAAATGTTAAAAAGGAAAATGAACAATAGATTTATTAAGTAAAACAAGTTAACTAAATATTCTAAATGGAATTCTAAATGGAATAACCATTTTGCTGAAACACCGAAGTTTAGACAAAGAGCAATAAACATTAAAATTATACTAAAACATGCTTACAGAAGAACACTCCTTCCTGCATGACAGAGCTTTGAGTCTATTTGAGGTCTGGCAGCCATGATACGTAATTCAGGAGGGAAAAATATATCAGAGAAGGCCAGAGTTTCAATCTATTTCCTTCCATGCCTCTTAGATAACTCTTGAGATTCTGGTTGTAGTTACCTAAGCAAACTATTCATTAACTGGGTCTATATTTCTAAGAGAGAGAAAGGTCTGTAATTTATGATCAAAGTCAATGGCTCTAAACTGAGGTTCCTTGTATTTTCTGGTCATCTTGGCACCCAGGTATGTGATGAGTTCACATCTCTCCATAAACTGCTCCATCTTCTTCTTATACTTTTTTCTTGTGTATTCAGAACCTTTGGGATTAAAGGCTGTAGAAAATTTTATAGAACTATGAATGTTTTCTGTTAGGTTAGTGAATCATTAAATGACAGAGAAAGAGAACTATGTGTGTGATTGAGCTGAGAATATATCCAATCCCAAATAAAGTTTGGGGGTTATTCTATTTTAGATCATAATTGCCTTTTCACCTTCCTTTATGGCATGGTTTATAGAAAGCTGACTTTATTACTCAGAGTAGTGCTTTAAAAACTAGAAATTCAGTTTTGCATGCCCCCCCCATACCATTCAAAAGACCAACCCAGCTCAACAATCCTGTTTATCACATATTAATTATACTACAATTAATGTTAAATTATTTCTGAGTAGTATATTATCAAAAAGACATACCTTTTAGATGAAATGCTACATAGAGTAGTGCAGATCTCTTTATACTTAAGAAGGGAAATTTGGGCTTTAAGCATCCTGCTGCATTCATTGCTTTAATTAGAGAAGTTGCGATACCCTGTGGGTGGGGAACAATCACATGAATATTTGAGTTTGATTTCTTTTGTTAGTGGCAAATAGATAAAGAGGCTAGTCTTTGTCTCAGATAGCCTCCTGGAGTTGAGAATGAGGCTTATAAAAATGGTTAGATGACCACTTGGCCAACAGGAAAGAAAGACAAAATACATTTGATTAGGAAAAATGAAAATTATCAATTGGCTTAGTGCCAGCTAGGTGATGGATACTTGGGCTTCATTACACAATTCTGTTTTTATATATTTGACATACCGCAAAAACTTAAAAAAGAAAGAAGGGGACATTGGATTTGTGTTGCCTGTCTCTTCTTCCATTGCTCATAACTGGGCAGATTGCCTCCTACTATCTGACAAGGACTTCCAGGGACCACAGTTATCACTGCAGTCAAGATTTGGAGCCCTGAGCAGGCAAAAAAGGTGTGAGGCCTTCTTGATAAAACTTGGCCTTTACAAGAATACTCCTTTCTGGGTGAACCTCATCTTACATTTTGATATTAAACCAGACTAAAGGCCAAACATCTTGGCAAGTTGAAAAAAACAAAGTGATTAAGAATTTATGAGAAAGGTATGAAATTGTACCCTGGACATTATTTTATAAAATTAAAAATAGTGGTTGACTACTAATAAATTTTAACACATTTAAAAAGAGTTATTTTTAGATATATAAAATGTGACTGCAGTAGATAGCTTCATTGGGATTTGGGGCAAAATATGGGTTTGGTGGTTCAGTTGTAATGACACCATAATTCAGCTCTTTTAACTAGAGAATAAACCTCTCAAAGACTGAATCTGTACATTTCCAATTAAAAAAATGTTTTACAGACACTGAAATTCAAAATAAGAACCAAATTACAAGTCAAATGTAAATAATTTATGACAGTTTACATTCTCTTCACTTTAGTGCAGGTATTTGGAAAAGCAGGGGCTTTCCGCACATCTTATTTTTCCAATCACCCATAAGCAAAACAGGCTAAAAGTGGATTTGCAGCTTAAAATCAGAAAACTCTGCCTTGAATTTCATCATTATCAAAATAAAATTATTGTTAAAGAAGAAATTGTTGTAGTCTCCTAATATATATATATATATAGAAAATCATGTAACTGAACCTGTTCCAGATATCCAGGCAAAGGAAGACTAGTAAGGAATATCGGTTCCTTTAACGGGGGAAGTTTGTGTGGAAGTTTCTGATTCCAATATTTCAATGGCAACCTAAGAACACAAAGCTCATTAGATGGATGTACACAAATATACTCATTGTGTGTATACAGGGATGCAGATATACAAGAGACAACTAGAAGATAAAGTCCATTACCTGTTTTTCTCCACTGCAGAAAATGATACAAGTGGAAAGACACGGTCTCCTAGAAATTCATGACCACCATCTTCTCTTGGATCCCTAACCCTGCTCATCTATTCTCAATTTTCTTATTTTTCACTGCAACTATATAACATTTTCTTTATTCTCCTCAGACTTCTAACTTTCTCAAATAACTCTCTACACAGATGCCATGCTATGCAAGAGAAGACATCAAAATGGAACTTTCTCAGCGACTTATCACCAGCAAAGGCGCATATACAATCTTCTCTTTTCATGGCAGAGCTTACCTCCCGTCTGAGATTGGTCTCGGCCCATGCTTTGGATCCCCACTCCACCCTCTCTCCAAGTATCTACTATAGCGATTTCTCCCTTCCTCTCACCTCTGGCATTTCCTTCCCATGCTCGGGATAATTCCCACGCATCTGCTTTAACACGCTCATACTTCTTCCCCCATTGGAAAAAAAAAAAAAAGAAGAAAAATCACTTTCACTCCTTCAACCTTATATCTCTTCCAGCAACTAAAGTCTTCTCTTTTTACAGTTAAACTTCTTCAAACAATGAGCTTCACTAGAGATCACAGACTACTGTACAAATTCCATCTGCAGATGTGACTTGGTTCACACAGTACTTTTAAAAAATTTTTAATCAGTCACAAATGTAAAAAAATTAGAAAAGTTAAAAAAAAATTGGTTTCCAACTTTTTGTATAAAACAAGAATGTCTGGCAGTAGTAGAGGAACTGCTGTTCCCCTTTTGCTGGGGCATGCGTGGTCCAGTTTGCAGCAATCCCCACCACTTCCTGTTGTTTCTCATCCAACCTGCTTCTCTCATGTCCTTCACCTTCTTGATGCTATAAACATCTGTGATTGTAACCTGTGGACTAAGGGCAAGGTCTTAATTTCATCACCTTGCATCCACTCCTTGGCACTCTGTAATTGGCTTCCACTCGCCTCACTCAACTGAAGCCATTCTTGCCAAGATCACCAATGACTTGTTATAACCTAAATCTGACACAGTTTTCAAATCATGTCTTGCTTGATGTCTAAGCAGCACTTAAACCTCTTGACCACACTTTCCAGAAATTCTCTCCCCTCATCTCCTGAAGCCTCCCTCTCCTGGGTCTCCTTTCACCTCTCTGTGGGTTCTTCCTTTTCATTCTCCCTTGCAAGCCTTTCTCCTGATTTTCATTTGTTGGTGTTTTTCAGGGCTAGTCCTAAGGCTGCCGCTTTTCTCACACTGTTCTTCAAAAGTGACCTCAAATGTGCTGTATTATTTTGTACAGGATTACTCCAATAACCTCATAACTGGTAGGTATTCCTGCCTCCAATCCATTATCAACACTCCAATGATGGTCTCTCTCCAAAGCAAATTTGATTATAATACTCAAAAACAAGTCAATGTATTCATACTGCCCTTTGGATCAAGTCCAAATGATTTATGGTGATTTTACTTGACCTTCCACACTCTGGCGCTGCTCATTACCTCCAGCCTCACCTCCTGCTCCTTTCCCTCTCCATATCACACCTAGCCATGCTGAATTTCTTGCACTTCAGAGATTGCCTGGGCCAGGTTTGTTTGTAGGTCCCTCTGCTTTGAACCTGTCCCTTTTCCCCTTCATCTAGCCAATTCTCCCTCCTCATTCAGGTCTTAGCCCAACAGACAATCCAGTTAGACTTTTGGACTACACTTTCTCAGAACTCCTGTCATTTCCCCACCCTAAACCCCATCACATTCTGTGTTTCTTTGTTTGTTTTTTAGGTATTTCAAGTCTATTTTACCTCAGAGCTTCAGGCTTTGGGACAGCAGGGACCAATCCTTGTTCACCATCACATATGTGTGTGTGTGTGTGTGTGTGTGTGTTGGGACAGCAGGGACCAATCGTTGTTCACCATCACATATGTGTGTATATATATATACATGTGTATGCATATATGTGTGTATATGTATATGTATACATATGTATGTAGACGTACACATATATATCCCAGCATGGTACATTGAACATAGAAGATATTCAAGAAATATTTGTGACTTAATGAGTGGTCTCACCTCAAAAATTTCTGGAGTTTTTCACTACTCTCACAAATATATATACGATCACGATATTCTAAGGCATATTTAATGTTACCAGGTACTAGGGCTTCATATCTGAAAGACAAAAAAAAATTCTTTTTTATAATTAAAATGCTGTATAAATAAAATGTCAAAATGTTTTCTTTTTCTCCCTATGCAACTCAAGGACGAAACAGGATATTTTCCAGTTAAACAATAGTGACCTTTTGGCCAAAATGTTAAGATTGTTATATGAATCACTTATTCCGAGTAGAGACACCATCCTGCACTTCCACGAGGGTGAGGACTTGCCTTTGCTTTCCATCCTGGTAGGTCACTGGACAGTAGCCCTGGAGCTCAGCACACTTAGGGAATCGTTTCTTCAGCTCTGACAGAGTCAGCCTTTTGGGAATCATGTCGGCAGATGGGAGTGGATGAGGTGCCAATGGAGGTACATATAATTCTGGGTTCTCCAAAAATTTCTGTGAAAAAGGGATTACAGTGATGACTATTTAAAAAAGGATACCATGCCAATCAAAAACCCACCGAGGCTCTCCAGCTACTCTTTTCATTTTCAGTAGCAAGGTTTGAGAGCCACTTTCAGCACCACAACAACTCCTTCTCTGGCTGGAAGTCCCTTATAGTAGTACTCCCAAGTGATTTCATTTAAAGGTCTCTCCTAATCTCTCTCATTCATTCACCCACTCACTCACCTCATTCATACAAAAAAATATTTGTTGAGCTCCTACTATGTGCCAGGCACTAGAGAGGACACAGTCACCTGCTCACTTGTCTTCCTGTCCTGAAGTATAATTAATTAGTCAGGTGCCTTTTGGCAGATGAGCTTACTTCTCCAGCTTCAGTTATCACTGTAAAATGGAGAAGGCAGACCAAATTTTTGAACTCTAACCTCACTTCTGGTTTTAAACTTCTTCGATTATCATTTAAATAAGCAGGAAGAAATACATGTCTCCTTAATAAAGTGCTCGAAAAAATTCTAATTCTTCAGAGGAAAAGAAATGTTCAGAGGCATCTGATTAGTTTATCACCACCAATCTTTTTATGTCATCAAATTATGGCCATTATAATATCAGAGCAAATCTATACTCTTTTCCATTAAATAGAACTATAAAGTATACTGAGAATTCTAGTGATAGAAAAAAATTTTAAAGCACACGAAACATTACTTCATTTCTATTGACTTCGACTTCCCTTCTGCATCCTTAAAGCTGAATCCCCTGGATGTCCTCCTGTGGGCTGAGCCCTGATGCTCAGCATCCCCTCCAATGGTGGGGCTCACCACTGGGTCTCCCTACCTGTTATGCAGCCTCAGGCTGAGGGCCTATCACTGACCCTGAACTTCTGCTTTGTGACAAAATATGTCATGGAATGCAGTCTCAGGACTGGCCACTGAGTTTCCTTATTGATCTCAGAGACACAGGTTCCAATAATGGGGCTTCTGGTCCCCAGTTCCTGGGTGTTCTCAGCTGCACCCACCCCCTCTTATTTGATGAATTCCGAGATAGGCATTTTCTTTCCTTAGTAAATATTTGGAGTTAGGAACAGACTTACATTCAGTTTTTCCTGAGAACTCATTTTATAATAGTGCCCTCTGAACTCTGCTGCAAATTCCAAGGACTCAGTCACAGAGCAATCAACTAATTCGTATGATTCTGCCAGGCTGACAGGGCAGAACTGTCCGAATTCACCCAGGCGAGAGTTCAGTTCTTGAGGTGTGATGCATAACTTGTCAATGCAGGCAGCTTTTCCTATTAATAACAGATTAACTCTTATTCTATGTTTTCATAGAAAGTGTAATTAAAAAAATTAAAATAACTTCAATTATATAACAAGCACACCATAAATGCATACACATTTAAATAACAAGCACACCATAAATGCATACACATTTAAAATTCCAAACACTAAAGTAAAAAGTTAGTTTCCCTTCACACCTCCATCCTCGCAATTCCTCCTGAGAGGTAATCACTGTAGAGTTTGTATCCTTTTCAGACTTTCTCTAGACATTTGCATGTACCCATGTTTCTTGCATATGGTATGCTTATGCCACTATACTGTAAACATTCTGTAACTTGTTTTTATCAGTTACTTATGGTCTTTGACATCTTTCCATACGATTTACCTAATTATTTTTAATTGATGCACAGTATTCCATTGTATAAATATACATATAGCTTGCTTAGCCACCTATCTGTTGATGAATAACTTGGTTGTTTTTAATTCTTAGCTGTTACAAACTCACTCTATGTATGTTATAAACAATATATATCTATACACACATATATGTATGTGCATATATACATACCCACTCACACACATATAAATCTGCTACATATTTTTAATTTTTCTATGGATAGATTTTGGGAAGTGAAAATAGTTTGCTGACATGATGTTACTGACAAAAATCTCCCCTGTACCCAGAAGCCACCCAAGAGAAGGGAAAAAACATTTATCCAAAAGTAATTAGGTTTATCCTAAAGAGTATTTTAAAAAGAAAGAGCCCAAGTTCCTTCAATGGACAAGTTTAGGAGTTTTCTCTCCAATACAAGGCAGAGAGGCAGGTATACGTGGAGTAACGCAGTGGATACCATGGTGCCCCATCCAGATTCCCCTTCAGGGTGCACGTACCCGTCCTCCAGCTGCTGGGAACGAACACTGGTGTTGGGGTCTCAGAGTTGCATTGGAAATTGCCCCTCTGTCACAGGTTATACACTCTCCTAGAGTGACTTATGGTCAATGACAGGGCAACAGGAGGATATAAAGCTTGGTCTCTCTCCCCAATTTGGGAAAAACTGAAAATCCATCCCAGCTCCAGTGCTCCCTATTCATAGGATCTATTGAGGTTTCCATTTCTACTACACAGTAGGTTAGTTTCTTCCTTTTCCCAATTCTACTGTCCTCACTTCCCCACAGGGCTATCTCCTGATTAGGGTTGTCAGATAAAATACAGGATGCCCCCATGCAATATTTTGGACATACTTAGACGAAAAAATTATTTGTTGTTTATCTGAAATTCAAATTTAACTGGGCATCCTGTATTTTTTATTTTCTAAATCTGGCAACTCTACTGAGATTACTTCCTGATGAAGCTTCTGCACACAACTTTTCATCTTGTGCCTTTTTCTAGGGAACCCAATCTAAGGTAGGGAGGGTGAAATATGGTAACAGAAAAATAAATGAGGCACAATTTTTGCTTTCAAAGTCTGCTGTGGAATGTTTCACTACTGTGATGATATTATCTAAAACTTATTGGGAGTAGGTTTCTAAAAATTCAATTCTTCTTTTGCATTCTTATCTTCATGCCTTATACTACTCAGGTGAAAACAAATTCCCAATCTGCAGACAAACAGGAACCAGAGATACCGCTTATGCTCAAATAATGAAATAAGACAAGATTCAATGATGCAATCATCAGAATCCTCACTGCATTTTTCCTTATTCAAGATTCTCTTAGCCACGTTGCACTCTCATACCTTATTATAGCTCCCCTAGAGTTTCCAAAGTTTAACAAAGTCATTAAACAGATGTCTGTGAGACCCCTACAGATAAATTCTTTGAAGCCATCACTCCTTTTAGAGATATCAGATGTAGATAACTTTTCTTCTATTGTGTGCATTTTTGGAGAAAAATCAAAAAACTTATAGGAGTATATAATCAAACATTTTCTTTCATGGATTCCTAATATGGATTAAAAGACATTTTGTGCTCGTTTAATTTTTTATAGACTCAACATTTATATTATATCATAATGAATGTAAATAGCAAAATTTAGTTCTAGATTCTGAAACAAAATTTTGCCAAGTGCCATTCCACAGACCACTGCCCTCATCTAACTACCATTCTTGAAACTAGCTTCTTACGTGGCATTCCAAACACTAATAAACTCTTCTAGTAAGAGACCATGCATTATTTTTATGTGCTAGGTTCACGCAGGCACTCAATAAACGATAGCTTGAGCAGCAGCAGTCATTTATTAGAACAAACATACCCGCCCACAATTGGATAGTACTCTATATTTAATATACCGATTAAATTGTGGGGAAAATGTTCACATTGAATGAGCCAGGCATGAGTAGACTTTAAATTTATATTTTATTCTCTTTTAACAGGTAAATGTTTTCTTACCTGCTTTTATTTTTTCCAGGTATATCTGCACATATTCATTCACCATTTGAACGTGCTTACTGACTTCATTCCACACCCACCATTTGCTGTGAAATCCATCAATCACATACCAGTTCTGATGTTGTTCTTGATAATATTGCTTAATCTCAACAATATTTTTATGGTACTTTGAGTTCTTGACAGCTATAATCTGTGTGCTGTTGTGTAATGGATAAGGCAAGCTAATGGAGAAACAGAAGAGGAATTGCAAAAGCCGTTTAAAACATACTTTTTTTCTGGATGATTAAAGTTCATTCCTTTATTATTGTTTTCATCACATTCATTACCTTTGTTCCTTTTTTTTTTCCAGAAGCAATCTTCTGAAAATTTCCTTGGAAGGCACATCCAACTCGAAGATGGCCATGGGGATGATCGACCTGGCTTCCAGGAGACTCATCTGATACCCAGTTACTGGGTACCCATCGATGACAACACTAAGAAGGAGAGACAGGGAAATAAAAATGCCACATTTCTTTCCTCTCCTACCTTCCTTTCTGTCTTCCAGAACTAATCTGTTTCTTTTGGAGAAGCCCCATGCTCTTCCTTACATAACTTGATTTATCTTCTTTGTGCTTTGTCCTCTTTATCTCTACATTTTTAATTTCAGTCAGTCCAAGATCCAAGAGGAGGGCAGCGTATATATGGACACAGCTCTGAATTTGTACATTTAGCATCAGAGAGCTAGGTTTTGGCAAGATTCGAGAGAGAACACGCATAACGACTTGAATATTGTGTTATTTAATTGAGGAGACTGGGATGTAGAAGGAGAAATGGGAAGCTGGTGAGAAAAGCCCTATGCTATCTGGAAGAGAATCATTCCATCAGGACCCATCATGCCTCTGAGCAGGAATAATGGAGGATTTAAGTTAGTCCAACACTCTGAGATAAGAAGAGTGTTAACTATCAAACTGAGAGGAGGAATAAAAGCTGTCTGCAAATTCTGAGGGGAGTGGTCCCTAAAGTCGGGAAACTCATTCTGAGGTGAGAACAAGCTGGACATACTGGCTGATGGTCATCAAGAAGGCCTAATCTAGGGTACGTCACAGGATGCCTTTCAGCCAAGTCTCTAGGCACTAACTAGTTCTAAGTTCCATGGCCTAGAGGACTGGAAGTTAACACAGACAGGCAAACCTATAGAGAATGTATGGGGGTGCTGCTGCTGTTTTTTAACAGGACAGTGAATGGGCAGTCACTGTCCCGGTATTCCCAGTAGCAGGGAAGAACAAGGAGGCTCCTAATACAAAACAACCTTGAGTAAATCGTGGGGATTCTAGGTCAGTGACCTAGGCTTTAGAACAGACTCTTAAGTTTCACTGGATTTTACTACTAGGTGTGACCAGTGGCTGTGCCAGGGGAGCAATGGTTGAGTAGAGGAGTGTAAATTAAAGAGAGAGCCCAAGCACAGAGCTCTCCTGTATAGATGTGGCATTAAGGTTGGGGCACTGCTACCTCTGCAGTGAGATGGGCCGTGAGAGAATATCTGCACTGGACCTCTACCATCTGGGGGCCAGGGAAGAGCCATTCCATCACTCCATGAGGCAGTGAAAAGCTCTCCTGGGATGTGAAAGTCACACCAGCCTCCTTGGTGGACTGTGTAAGGCTGGAGACCTCTGGACAACTCAGAGGTTGCTGCAGGGAATGAAGTGGCCTCCTTGCTTTTCTGGCACGCGAGTGTTCAAGCCAAGTTTTAGCTTGACAGAAAATTAAAGTATGTAACCACATAGGTGCCCAAAGTTTGAGAAGCATATCATACCCTTTACAAGAGCTTTAAACCTTTTTTTCAAGATAAGTGTTTTGAATTCCGGTGAGTAATTGCTTAGAAGAGTTAACCCTCCCACCACCCCCCTGTACCCACTTACCCTGCAGTATTACATATACTTTCCATCAGAGATATTTCTAAGGCTTTAATAGCCAGTTCGTCAGGTGCTACCATTCCTTTATGAAGATGCCAGTTTAGCATAAGTGCCAGCTCAGTGTTTGGTTGGTTAGTTAATATGTAACGCAAAGCTTCTCCTATTGACAAACGCTTTAAGCCATATTCACTTGAAAATTTGTGGGCAACTGAAAAACATTAAAACTTTAAACGTACTCCATTTCAAAAATTCATCAGTTAACCTTAGTTTCAGATTCTGGTTAATTGATATCAGTAGGAAACTCATCTTCATATTTCTCAAAGAAATTCTGAAGTTAAAATTGCTACATTTTACTGAATATTGTCAAAAGGTCAATCATTATTAGTACTTCAGGTAAGTGGTTGATGGGTCTGGGTAATGAGCCAACTCTGTGAGTTTTTTTTTTTTCATAACTGAACCAACATTTAAATTTTCTCTTCCTTTGGCATGAAGTAGCAAAATTTTTGAGAGCTATCCAAGGCATCTGATGTGTACTATTAGTATTTGGTACTATGTCCAAAATAACTCAGTTAATCCTCTAGGAAACAATTTTTTTTAAGAATAATAATGGCATATCTGACATTTTAATAGTAATTTACAACTTTGTGAGGCAATTTTTCTTCTGTGATTTTATTTGATATTTTCAACTATTCTATCCGATGGGTAGAATGAATATTGTAATGCCAATTTTTTAGATCAGAGAACTGAAGCCCAATTCAATGGAATTCAAGATCACGTAGATGGTGCCATTGGTAGAAAGAGGACTCATATTGGCCTCTGCTTCTCTTAAATGAGACCAAGCAATGGCTTGCAGTAACTAGTATTAAATGTGGGTGTGCTCTGTTGGGGTCTACAAACTCTGCTTCACCGCTGTCTGGAGACGGCAGTGTGTAGAGAACATTGAGAAAGAGAGCGTGTCCAATCCCATGGGAATGCGAATTAACTGACCATAGTCAGGGCCACTCAGAAGGGAAGCCCCTGTGAGAGCAGCAGAACCCTTAATCTCGACTTTGCCACAAATCCTGGAGTCAGATCTACTTTTTTAAAGTTCTAAAAATAATTAAGCAAATTAACCTCTCTTTCAATAAAGAAATGAGAAATCGGATCATCTTGTCTTCTCTCATTTTCACTTTTTTCTGTGGTTGTGGGATCTTATTTTGAATGTCAATGTTCTTTCTGCTTTGCTTTGGGAAATAACATTATCTTTGTGAACATTTAGAATACGACTATTACAGAGTTGTTATATTAAGAAGTTTAAATGGGCGAAACAAACTTTTCATCTAAAGAGGTGAAATACAAAACTCCCCTTTATTGTTCCTGGTGACAGATTAAACTTGACTCCCCATCTCTTCCCTCCATTTTCTATTTAGTCATTAAGTCCTGTTGTTTTCCTTTAAAATATCTCCCGTATCTGTCCTTTCTTTTCTAATCTCATTGCAACCAAACACTGTTCATGTTTTCATGTCATCTTGAAATACTACACCAATCTATTGTTGGACTATTTGCCTTTATAAAAAACCGCACACACTCCAAAGTTATATAAAATTCAAACATTACAGGAATATATTTACCAAATGCCTTTTCAGCAATAATTAAGATAATGGAATTTTACTCTTTATTAATACAGTAGATTATATTTATAAAATCTTTAAAAATAATTTTATGCTAATTTAACTGTGTATGTAAGTAATATTAGTTTATAATTTCTTGTATTCTCTTTGTCAGGTTTTGATATCAGGGTTATGCTAATTTAAAAATGAACTGGTATTCTTTATACTTTTTGAATTACATGGATTATATTCATTAATAAAAAAAAACGAAAATAAATTCAGAAGCTTACTGTCTTTTCCCTTGCTCTGAAAGCTTATAAAAACACAGGAAGTAACTCCTGAACTTTTAACCCTTTGAAGGTTTGCTATAATTTTCCTCTAAAACTAATTGTTCTGGGCTGCTTTGGAGTGAGGCTGTATTTTTGAATGTCTACCTTCAATGGTTATTGGCCTTTTTAGGTTTTCTATCTCTTTTTAAGTCAGTTTTGGTAGTTGGTTTCCTAGAGAAGCTACTTTTCAGGAGATTCATTTATGCTTACAGGTAACAAAGGCAAACATACACTTACCTGTAGTTTTCCCAGATCTCGGAGGACCCACAATTGCAATCCTAATGGGCACAGTGGGCTTAGGTTTGGGTTGGCGGATATATTTGATTGGGTTCTTCATAAATTTTTCTTTAGTTTGCTTACTAGACAAAAAATAAATATACTGACGATGTATTACAGGATAAACTGCATTCTCCGAATTTTCAATTGGCTTGGTTATCTCTCCTTCGCTTAACTGCAATACATATGCAATTGAATTTGTAAGTTACCTTTACTTTATATAGCATTTCCCCAAAACACATTGAAAAACAATTTGTAAAATAAGAAAATTTTCCTTATAGATAAGAAAATTATAATCAAATACTGATATTAAAAAACTGTGTAAAAAGAACAAATTATTTTATACCCACATGCAATTAATGTTATCTTTTTAAAATGACTTTTAGTTTATGACAATTATAGTTTTTCTATTTCCTTTCTCACATCCAAGTACTAACCAGGCCCGACCCTGCTTAGCTCCGGAGATCAGACGAGATCGGGTATGTTCAGGGTGGTATGGCCATAGACTCTATTTCCTTTCTAATGTATTTAGTGTATACTGAATATTTTTGCCAAGGAATGTAAAGTTGTTTGAATATATTCATGGGACAATTTATCTTTACAAACAGGTCTATTCCTAAGGTGGTGTTATGGATGGAAATGTGCCCCTCGAAATTCATAGGTTAAAACCCTAACACTGTGAGTGACTGTATTTGGAGATAGGTTTCTAAGGAGGTAATTAAGGTTAAATGAGTCAGAAGAGTGGGGCCCTAATCCAAGAGGACTGGTGTCCTTATAAGAAAAGGAAGAGACATCAGGTGTGCATGAGCACAGTGGAAAGGCCATGTGAGGACACACTGAGAAGTGGTTGTCTACAAGCTAGCAAGAGAGGCCTCACCAGAAAACCGTCCCACTGGCCTCGGTCTTGGACTTGTAGCCTCCAGAATTGTGACAAAATAAATTTCTATTGTTTAAGCCACCCAGTTTGTGTTATTCTATTACGGTAGCTGGAGTAGACAGGTGGGGTCCTGGGTTATTTTGTTAGGATATATTGGTAGGACAAATCCCATTGGCTTCTCTTCCACTTTTTTATACAGACAAAATCCCACTCATATAAACATCAACAGCAGCCACAAAAGGGAAAAATACACCTAAGAGGCAGCCTAAAATGTAGGGGAGGAATGGAGTGGAAGGAGTGGTCCCACATCATTGCATTGGTGATGATGAGAACTGGGTAATTAACTGATGCTAGGTTTGAATATCTTTTTTTATGGTATAAGATGGGCAAGCATCAGCCACCCCTGGATTCGAAAGAGTAGATGTGAAACAGTATGGTAATATTACTCCTCTCCCAGAGCTACACCAGGACTGTTGTCACCATTCAATGGTATTGTCAACATCGTCATTCTTAGGCTGGAGTGGCGTTCATGGCTGGGAGTAAATGCTAAGGATAAGAAGAAATTCAGGGATGGGGTGGCAATGTCTGCTCTGTTTTATACTTGGTAATAAAAGAAAGCTGGAAGTTTAATTATTCCACTTCAAATTCCTTACAGTAGTTTCTGTTGTTGCCCCAAATATCTAGCATGTATCCTTTCTCCTCTGTACGTCAGAATATCTGTAGTGTTATGAAATCAGAAATATCAAATTGTCAGGCACCAGAAAGATTCCCAACAGCTCTGAAAAAAATGATTCCTTATATGCTTAAACTCTTCCTATAACCATGTGCTCATTTCTCCATAAGGTATTTCTGTACAATCCTAATTATAGGGTTCTGACTTTGCCTGCTTCTTTCCCTCTCTTGAACATCTCAGAGAGGTTAGGGTATGATTATTTTTCACAAGCTTTCCAGGTTATTCTAATACATGCTTAACTCTATCCAATTCTCTATGGAGGGAACTTTGTGTTATTATATTTTAGCATGATATTTGAGGATACATTAAGGATCTACTGAGATCCTTATGGTTAAGGTAAATAAGATAGCATAATTAAGTAGAATTGAAATGGATTGTGTCAAGAAGGAGATTTCAAGTAACATGCACATGGTTTCATTTTGGATCTGTCCTCTAATAATCAGTGACCAATAATAGTAGTACATATTACTAACAGCAATAACTCATATTAACTGAGCACTTATGAAAAAATCAATCACTGTTACAAGCACTTTTCAGTAATTAACTCATTTAATCATTGTAACAGTATTGTAAGGTAGGGACTATTCTTACTCCCATTGCGCAAATGGGAATGGCTCTGAGAGGTTAAGTAATTCATTCAGGGTAACTCGGCTAGTAAGTGGTGGTTCCGAATTCAGACAGTCTGGCTCCAGAGGAAATGCTCTTCTCCATTGTGCTACATCACTGATGGAAGTAAGAAGGTATGCTGGTCAAGTGGGCAGATCACTACTACATGACATTCTTTTACTGTCTTTATAGTGCTTAATACTATCTGACGAGAACGTCTTTGTTTACTTATTTATTGCCTATCCTCCCTCCCTAACCCAACTAGAATATAAGCTCCATGACAGAAGAAACCTTGCCTGTTTTGTTCACTACTTTATTCTCAGGGACTAGAACAGTGGCTGGCATATTCTTGGTTAAGATTTGTTGAAAACCATCCCACATTTGAAGTTATTGAATTCCAATAGGATTAAATCTGTTGATCTACATTGCATCAAAATACAGTACTTAGAAATAAGTAATATTAATGGCACATTTTGTATGGTGTCTCACACTTTCCGGAGGGCTTTATACTTTTACATTTGATCACAGTGGCCTGGTGGCATTATTCTTCCATATTACAGGTGAGGAAACAGAATCAAAGAGGTTACATGACTTGCCTAAGATCAGATAGCAAATTGGTACCAGAGCTCGGCTCTCTAGATGTTTAGCTTAAAAATATTTTCACTACTGTCTGCTTCTGCTACAAAGTTAAAGAAAAAAGAATTAAAAGAAAGAACATGGCTTTCAGCTACACTTTCTGACATTACCTTTACAGGGTCCCAGTAGCCAAACGTGCTTATATATGTATAGGTAAAGCTGAGCATTTTCTGGGCAAGGTGTAATGATACTGGATAACATTTCTCAAAAATGCTTGCACGATTCTCCACCAGTGGTTTCAGTCTCTTATTCAACATATATTGTACAATGTGAAGTTTCCGAGCTCCATTAATGAAAATTACTGGTATTAAACACTTCTCAAATTCTTCCTGAGGGGAAAAATCATAAAACCAAATATTTTTAGTGGGAAGAAGGCTGGTAGTATTCAGACACAGCATATAGACATTGCTGGTGACTGACTACATCAGTCTAGAGCACAAATATTTTTCAGTTTCCTAGTGACTGCATGTTGGCAGCTAAAATCTTTGGCGCTATGCGGCTTCCAAGCTGCCCTTGATTTAGTAACTTGTTTTCATAATTGTAAGCGGTGCTGACAAAAGGGAATATAGCCCTAAAATACACATTTCTTTTGAAATGTTAAAAAGAAACCAAGGCATAAACCAAATTTCTTTTGTTTCATTCTCAAATGTCACTTTTCAAATTAAGAAAAATGAAAGAAAAGTAATAACCTGTATTATTTGTAAATTACTTATATCTGCTTCAAATTTGTCTCCCAGTTCACCTCTCAAGCGTTCAAGTGCATCAACTTCCTGTTCTTCTTCTTCCTCGCTCATCACTTCCTCATCTTTTGGAAATTCATCTTCAAGGATGTTGTCAATATCATCGTCATCTTCTTCAGGTTCTTCTTCACTAATTTCTTCATCTTCTCTAACAACCTAAGGGAGAAAATATTCCCTTTCACTTTACGTATAAAATAGGTAACAAATGACACTGCTAACTAATCATCTGGAATGTTTTTTAATAACTGGATTTTAGTTGGTATGGTATGGCAACACTCATCTAGTAACATAATAAAATTTTAAATATCAGGCACCCAGAAATTTAGTACCTTCAGACTCCAACACCATAGTGATCCCATATATAAATAAATAAATAAGCTATTAAAGGCTATTTATGTCTATGATTGTCAGAATGTGACATGTTTTTGATGGTCTTCAGTAAAAATATTTAATTCAACTCAAAGAGTATAAAGCACTCATTAGCTGTGTTAGCTTAGGCAGGATCTATTTCTTCAACTGTAACATAGGAATAATAAAACTACCTACCTCACAAGGTTGTTGGGAATATTAATTAAGTTAATATATGTAAATCCCTTTAAAAAGTGTCTGGCACATAGTAAGCATGCAAATGATAGCTATTATTGCTATTATAGTTATTATTGTTACTTTATATAAAACACTGTATGAATAGAACAGTATAGGCCCTCTAGGAGGTTATAGCCTATCTGAGGAAACAAGAATGATACAAAAATGATTATTAAAGACTGTGACAGGATATTGATACTAAGTGGTATTGTATAGGCTTTAAGTGTTACGTAGTTCAGTTGGCATAAAACTGAACCCTATAATATTGATCCTCGTGCACTGCCTCCACATTCTTCTCCCTGAAGTATTCCTTATCTCAGAGCACTGCTTTCCAGCTGGAAACCTGAAAATTCTCTTGACTCCTCGCTCTCCATCTCTGCATATCCAGTTTCTAAGGACTGTCATCTGAAACAATGCTCGAAACCCCCTCTTTTCCAGTCCCACTCCACCGTGTGCTTTCTCATGATCTCTTTTTTAAAAATTTTATTTTATTATTAGTTTCAAGTATACAGTACATTGGTTAGACATTTATATAGTTTATAAAACCAATATATAACCAATTGCTCTTTCTCTCTTCTGGCTCTACCTATCTCATTATCTCTTGCCTGCAATCTTCTGATTAGCTCGAGTTTTTCTAAAATAACTGATTAGAGCCTGATTCCTTTAAAAAGTTTCTGGAGCTGGGATGTGAACTTGAAGCTGCAGGGAGGAAGACAAGAAGATAAGGCCCCATTCTTGCTTTGTGCCTAGACTCCTCTCTACAAAAGGAGCTTGGCAATGAGATAGTGTTTCTCAGTTCTGGTTCTATTTTATTTGAATTGTGAAACCATTTGGTCCTCTTAATCCTTTTTTCTTTTTGTTATATTTTGACAATTTTTTATCCTGAGATTTTCTAAGGATCACTGAAAGTATGGTAAAATGAGTTCACATTACAAATGGGGACATCTTAGTTCCGGATGAACTTGTGTTCACCTTTCTGGCTCTACTTAGTGGCTCTTTCAACTTGTTTCTTAACTTAAAAAAATTAAACTACATAAGTTTTAAAAGGAATTCAGTTTTACTATGAAGATAAAATTATACAGTATTATATAGGTTAAAAAGTCTCTCTTCACATTCTCATCTCTTTTCTAGTGTCCCATATGGAAACGATTTAGGTTAACAATTTGATTAGGATTCTTTTAGATGTTTATACACACAGACGATTTTATCTTAAAATATAAATGAGATTTTTAAATTTTCTACAACATGTTTTAAAGATAATTTAGCAATATATTTAAATTTATTTCCGTATCACGACATGTATTTCATTATTTTTATTTAGCCATTCTTATATATTTTTTTAAATGGGAGGGTTTTGTTGTTGTTCTATAGAAACCGGTTTAGGAAGTAACAAAATTAACAGTAAAAGGCAGCCACTTCTGACTCCTGTGATGTTCGATGTCTCTTTCTTGCTAGTGATGATGAGAAATTTACCAAACTTACATCACTTCTCTTCTCTTTCTCTTTTCCTATTCCCCAGTTTTAGTCATATTTTTAATTCTTAATTCTGCTTTGAGTGCCTATACCATTAAATATTAACTCCAAATCTCTATTTATTGAGTTACCATTTTTAGATGTGTGTTTTGATTCCCCACAATTCCAGAGGATGTCCTTACTCTTTGTTCCACTTTTCCTTGTCTTTAATACCTAGATTTTTGTCTCCAATACTATTACACATCTGTCTTGTTACTCTAGACAAGTATTTAGTGCTTCGTGTAGAAAGTGATTCTAAAAATTGAAAGCAAACAGCATTTGATTGATTTTGAAAATAGAAATCCAATAAACGGAACCTGCTATATTTAACTATGTAACCCTTATTCACTACGGCCACGGATAGTGACAGAGGGGCTGCAACTTTCTATCAGTTTCTTTTTTGTTCTCTGGTTTTTCACAGCAGCCTGTTTTTGTTTCATGGATAAAAGTTCTTGAATTTCTAAGGGAAACTGGAATTTTTTAAATGTTTAATGATTCCTGTATTGTTTATTTGTTTGAGTCAATTGTTCCATTTGTTCATCTTGGTTCTGCTTTGTGCTGATAATTTTCTTCAAGTGTATAGTAATTCTTGGTTGTCCTTTTATTTTTATGAATGAAGGACCAAGTTGACTAATTCAGAACAACTGCAAGCTCTGGGTATCTGAGTAGAGTAGGTTGTATTATTCTTTCATTTAAAATGTGAAGATGAGAAGAGGCTGGCAGGCTGGATCTTGCCCCAAATAATGAAGGGCACCAATCAGCATCCTTTGGCACCTAGCATCTTCTAAGCAGATTATTTAACTACTTTAGCAATTATTTACCTTTTTTTTTTCATGGGGCAAATGTCACTGTTCCGTGAGAAACTGGTGGCAGGAATGTTAAATAATTTTTTTTTGTCATTTACCTCTCAGACTTTCTAGATAAAGTCTATTAAAATAATGAGTTTTCTTATTTTTCAACACATATGCTATTTCTTGCTCTTACCACTTTGTTTTGCTAGTTATTTCAGTACAATGCTGAAAATTTTTAAGGTTAACATCTTAAAAATCTTCACAGCAGACCATTTAAGAGAACCACAAGTTAATTATTCTTAGGGAAAAAAAGATTTTGTTTTTCTGTAAATGGAAATTTGATCTTTCGGAACAGTGCTTTCTTCCCCCCTGACATCTAGCATCTTTTGGTCCTTATGTGGAGATGCTTGTTCTAAAATTCATGGCTTCAGAGATGTGCCTCCAGTATGAAGGAATAAGTTCATTTAGCCTCTAATAATAACCATAACCATAAACTATTAATGAAACACACACACACACACACACACACACACGCACACACTTTCTCTCTCTCTTGCTTACTCGAAGGGCTCTAGAAGAGTGAACAAAGGCAGATTTTGAAAATTTGGAGAAAGCAATTGGCTTAGGGTGAGTTCTCTGATTTTTTGCATTTGTTCAGAGGGCAGCTTCCATTAGTGTGGTAGTGGCAGAGGGTGACTAAACTTCTGGTAGAAAGCTTGCTGTCTTTCTAGCTGGAGCAACCAGGGGAAGGAGCCACAACCAGGGTACTAGAGAGTGAGAGTAAACTACAGCGTTGAGAGAGCCAGAGAAAGAAACACCAAATTCCGTTTGTAAAGATTGCCTGAATCTCTGTCTACTCTCTGAACCATGTATATACGTACTGTTTGAGAACAGTATAAGCTGAACTGCCACCCATTGCAGGCATGATGGAGTTTGCAGGTTTAGTCTTATCAAGTTAATTACCTGCTAACACAAAAACATCAGCCCTCTCTGGAGGCATGTAACAGAATCCAGAATCTTCACAACATAATATTAATAATTCTGGGATATAATCCAAAAGTAGGATCATGAGATGTGATCCATTCTCATAAAGAAAGATAATTATCAAATTCCCAATCCATCTGTTAGAGTTACCAAACAAAAACTTTAAAGCAGTTATTACCATTGTGATTAATGAGGAAAAGTAAAATGCACTTATAATAAAAGATAGGAAATTCCAGGAGGAAATAAAAAATATTTAAAACAAACAAACAAACAAAAGTTTTAGAACTAAAAATTATAATATTTGAAATAAATATTGGGTGGGCTTAATGGTAGAATGGAGATGACAGAGGGAAAAATCTGAATTTGAAGGCAGATCAATAGAAACTATCCAACTTAAAGAGAGAAAAAATAGAAAAAATTGACACCTCCAGAGACATGTAGAATAATAGTGAAATATTTGACCTATGTGTAATTGGTTTTTGGAAGAAGACAGAGCAAATGAGTCAGAAAAAATATCTGAAGAAATTACGTTCAAGGTTTTTCCAAATTTAATGAAAGACATAAATTTACTTATTAAAGAAGCTTCGTGAAACAAACTAGAGAAATATGAAGAAAATAACACGTAAAATTGAAAAGCAAAAATACAGGGAAAAAATCTTTAAAGGAGCCAGAGAAAAACAATATGGAAAGCAATTCAGGTAATCACATACTTCCTATCCCTCTGAATCCCATCGTACCAGAGGAATGAATGAAGAACACCAGAAATAGTCAATATTTGGATAAATATAAAAGAGGATTTACTTTTCTCTTAATGTATTTAAAATACATGTGACTCTTTAAAACAAAAACTATAATTTTTTTTCTTGTGGAGTTTATAATGTATTTGGTTGTAAAATACATGACAACTAGAACATAAAGGATGCTGGCAGAGTGGGGGTGAGGGTAAATGGACTTAAACAGTCACGATGTTTCTATAACATTACATGGAATAATAACTGACTCTAAGTAGAGTTTGAAAAGCTAAGGATGTATGTGTAATTTGAGAGCAACCACTAAAAAATAATGTATGGAAGTATATCTAAAAAGCCAATGGATAATTAAAATGAATTTCTAAAATATATTGAAATCATCATAAAGAAGGCTAGAGAGGGGAATGAGAAAAGAGAGGGGACAAACAGAAAGCAAATAAAATTCATGGTCTCAAGAGAATTAGGACTAGATTTGGGGTAAGCTATCATAACTCTCAGTAGGGGGAGGCAGGGAGAAGGCTACATCTAGATGGAACGTTATGCCAGGAGAGTGGTGGACATTATAGTCAGAATGCTTACAATTAGGGAGGAAATGAGAGAGAAATAAATGAAGAAATGGAAAAAGAAGCAAAAGACCTATCAGCGTTTCGAGGCTCTTCCCAATGAAAGACACACTAATTCAGACACTAGATTCCTATATTACACTGGGGAGGCGAGGTTGCCTTCTATTTCTGGATTTTGAGACACTAATTCTGAATTATTTGATTTTCAATGCCTTGAAACTCAATTCTCAACCTGTATACCCCATGTACACTTTCGCTTGCTGTTTCATCCCAAAGTGTCCTTTGCACCTATATCTTTGGGCCTATTCACAACTCCTTTTTCCCTAGAAACTCTTGGGGAGGGTCTTGGCCTGGTACTTGGTCCTGAACCTTGTTTTGACCTCACTAGGACCCTGACTTTGGCTTTCCTGTAGGACTTAGGGTACGTACTTCTATAAACTATTCACTCAGGCAGTCTCTCACAGTTCTGCTCACTTGCTGCCCTGGCTCCTTGTCCTGACTCTTTCTGACTTTCTCCTCCTCGTGGGTACTCTACATTTAATAGAAGGGACACAAGCACCAGAAAAGGAGACAGTGGTTAGGAAGAAGGCCAAGATTTTGGAGCAAGGAGTAAGAGTAGAAGCAAGGCCTCTGAGGAGGATGAAGATATGCAATGTAAATCTCAGTATGAAGGGGGTTGGCTTATAGAATATTCTTCAGTCACATTCGGAGACTAAAGTTCCACACGATGGCGACATTTTCCTATGAAATTAATGCGAGTAGTCACCTTGAGACCTTGAAGTGATTTCTAATGTTAAAATGTCTTATTTGCTGCTAAAAAGTCAGACAGCAAAGGCAAAGGTGAGAACACAAACCTGGGAAGGGGTTTACCTGAATATGCTTCCCCAATTAGCTATAAAAAGGTGAGTCATGGAGCTGCATTACTCTGTACAAAGAGGCAAATGAAAGTCTGTTCATGAAAGCAAGCTCCAGGGTCTATTCTGTCAGAGTAGCTTTGATTCAAGGTATAGCATTAACTGATTATAATAATCACACTATGTGATCCTTGAGATACTACATTTGGTTTAATCTTTCTTTGTCTGGGGCAGTAGCAGAATATATCTTACAAAATTCCCATCAAAGGAGTTGAAAAAATAATCAGTACACAGTTTTAAACTTTGATTTGCAAAAAATCTCAGGAATTATCTTCCAAAAGTCAGTTTGTATAAATGAATTGTGTAGGATATATAACCAAATTTATAAAAGGTTAAGTCTTAGGAGAGCTAACTTATAAAAATCTACTTAATTTATAAGATAGAATATTGAATCTTTGAATGAAAAATAAAAAAGCCCCCATTCTAATGTTAACAAATGGCAAAGTTATAAATTAAGAACATTTAAAATTTATCCTAAAAACTAATTATCTTAAGAAAAAGAAGATTTAACTAAACAATAGTAAAGAAGGGAAATAAAAGTATTATTAACTAAGGAAAGTAGTTTTGTTTTTTGTTTTTGCCTACAGCACCCGGTCTTCTAAGTACGAACCAGGCCTGACCCTGCTTAGCTTCCGAGATCAGACGAGATCGGGTGTGTTCAGGGTGGCATGGCTGTAGACGAAAGCAGATATTTTAAATTTTTCCTATTTTACAATGAAAAAAACCTCACAAAGGTTAAGTAACTTGCTTAATGTTATACAACAGCAGCAGAACAACTCTAAGTTGAGTGCCTACTATGTATCAGCACTGTTAGGCACTGGGTAGCCATCTACGAGCAAGAACTTGAGAGATTATATCAGTTTAGGTCAACTTGACCTCGAAGTTTGGACTCCTTTGGTAATATGTTCCTGAGACATCTGAGGTGATCCTTAAGGGGACCACTAGGGATTCCCAAGGGCTAAAGGTGGTTAACTATGGTTGATCCCACGTTAGGATGTCTGTCTTTTTTATTCTAAACATTAGCATGACTTCTTGAAGAGAGTAGAATTGCAGAACATGTTTGTTCAGGGAATGAGCATTAACATGAGGTCAATTTTTCTCATGGCTGATTCTCCAGTGTCTGAGATAGTGTCAGGCATGTGTAGTAAGTGGTCAATTATGGTTTGCTGATGGGCTCACTGACTGACTGACTGACTGAATGAAGATCAAGGCAAATAGCAAAGAGGAGGGTGCTTGTTCCTTAGATGGTGCCATAACTTTCTCAGTCTAATGGTTTTAGATCAACTTTTGGTTGTAAATACTCTGGACAAAAAAAAAAAAAAAAACCCCAAAAGGTTCCGGTCTCTCTTTTGCAATATTTTGACCCATAGTTACAGTTGCATTGTATCAGGAGTCTTCTATACATAAATCCAGCATATCCACACCATGGGGTACATGGTCGCATGTGTAGAGAGCCCGATTTTCTGTTATTCCTCATTTCTCCTTCCCCTTGTTGGGTAGAACATTTTTATACAGAAGGAAAACAGATAACAGAAGAGTCAGCCTTGAAAAGATGTTACAAGGGTACCTTAAACTAGAAGGAAATGGAAGAAGGCAGAGACTACCTTATCGTTTGCTTTGGTTACAAGGGTTACTTGTAAACTGTATAAATATGAGCCTCAGGTCCTTTATAGAACTAGCTGTTCTAGTGACACCTCCTTTTTAACTCCTGCAACCCTGAGTAAGCTTGGCTGCAGCATTTGGGTTAGCTAGGTCATCCCCCTAAACAAAACAAAATCCATGATCTTCAAGGTTTATCTTTTTAAAAAAATCAGCAGATGGGATGAGCTGTACTGAGCATCCTGCACAGTATATGACTGTGAGGGTTCACAGGCTCTTCCTCATTCCATTCTTTATCTTGAAATAATCTATATTTTAGTTCAGCACAGCTTCACAGGCTCTCTGTCTAAACCTCAATCCCAAGCTCCTAGGCTATCTTTCTGTGGCATGGGCTGGAAGTGTGTAAAGCAAAAATAACAATCCAAAATAAGCATAGTTTAATATAGTATTATATTTTGTATTATATTATTTAAATATCTTTAGTGTTTTTTTCCTTTAAAAATGTTCATTTTTCTCAGTACTAAAATAATAAAGGTCATTTTAAACAGTTATGGAATAACAAAAAGTATAAAGGCAATAAAAATTATATGTAATCTCACTACTTGTATATAAACTTTATATTTCCTTCAGACTTTTTCTATGTATCTTTTTATATTATACTGTATACACACACATAATGGTGTACTTTAAAAAAATCATATTTACTTACCTCCCCTTTCTTTTTTTTCTCTTTCTCTGCTATAAGTTCAGCCCTTCTTTTAGAAATCATATCATCCTATTTAAGAAAGAGACATTTAAAAATTTCAATGGTTAATGGTGAAATTACTTCCTATGTGTTAATATAATATATAT